TCAACATACCAATTTATCTGACCCTCCAAGAACTTGTAGGCATCTTGGGCCCCAGCTAGCTCCAAGTTTGCCTTCTCCAAGGCTTCGGCAATCACCTTCTGGTGGTCATTGGAAGCTTCCACTTTCTTAGTCAAGGAGGCCACCTCACACTAGGACTCATACACCTCCTTCTTCAACGCCTCGATCTGGGCCAAGGCAGACTCCAGCTTGGCCGCATCTTCAAATTTTTGGGCCCTCGTTTCCTCTACCTCGGCTCTAGCTCCCTTTAGCTCCTCTGCAAGGGAGGACATCTTCTTCTCCGAGGACTGGGTCCTCGTTTGAAAGTCAGTAAGAGCCTCCCTGCACTCCAATTCGAGGATAAAGGTCCTCACACTTTGGCTCACGAGGACCCTTGTCAAGTCCATAGCGTCACATAAGGAGGCATGCAACTATCACTGATCCATCCAGAATTTGTAAAAGCTTTCTGTAGCACTTTGGATCTTAGGTGGTAGAGCCTCCACCAAAGGTGGAGCCAGAACCTCCTCTCTTCCAGCAAGGAAGCTCGGAGACTTTCCTTGCACCCTCGTAGGCCTCTGCTTGGTGACCTCGTCCCTCCCACCTCTCAGCCTCTTCCTTAGCCTCCTCATCCTCGGCTCATCGAACCATTTCAATCTTTACCGCTTTCGAGGCGGCTTCAAGAAGCTTTGGCTGAGTGACTTTTTTGCTTTCATAAGACACAAAGGTCCCGAAATTTCCTGACGAGCTGGTGACGTGCACCAGCTTCCTCTTCTTCTGCTCCTCGGGGACCTTCTCCTTCCCCCAAAGCTCTTTGGCCCTCTTCGACCACTGAGGTGTCCCCTCTTTGGGAGCCCTTGAACTGCTGTCCTTAGAGAGGTGCTCGACACTGCCCCGAACCTCTTTGGCACCAGTCGACCCTGGCTTTAGGGGCCTCGCCTCCACAGTGGATGTGGCCTTAAGTATAGAGGCCATGTCAGGGGCTGGGTATTCTCTCCTCTTGAATTTGTTTGCAGAACATGTCAATGCATCAGTATCAAAACAAAAAGCAAGAAATACACAAGTATAGGAGTTTTTTACCCTTGGAGGCCATCAGTTCAAAATCAAGGAAGTAGCGACTTCGATCGATGAGGTGGTTGAAGTGGCGAAGCTTCAGAGGTCTCTTGTAAATGTTCTCTATCAATTCAAACTCCTCCTTGCTCAACTCAAACCTCGTATTGCTATCTGCAAAGGAAGCCTCAATAGTTAGAAAAAGAAATTTGAATACAAAATGCAAACTACTTAGGCTGGGAGACTCATGAGCTTCGTAGTACTCGGTCGATATTGTGCAATCCAGGGCTGTGTCCTCCTCCACCGCTTGCCACCTGCCCCTCACCCAAAACCACGACTCCTTTCACCCCTTAATGGAAGAAGGCAGCCCCACCACAAATGGTGCATGAGCCCCCCAAGGAGTTAAGTAATACTACCCCCTTGACTACTTACCTATTACCCTAGGCTGGAATAGGGTCATGAAGATGTGGAGAGGCATGTCCTCCCCAAGTGACACTTCCTTCCATAGGAAGTACGAGCCAACCAATTGGCTTCACCTATTTAGTAGAACCCGGGTCGATGAAAATATAAAGTTCCTCAGCACCGCCCTGAAGAAGGGGTGCAGAGGAAGACGCATACCTACCTTAAACAGGTACTCGCTCACCGCCACGCATCCAGGCCTCGGATAGCAAGCTCACTCATGGGTCTCAGGTACTAACATCTCTGCATAATGAGGTACAGAGTACCTCTCCCTAATCTTCTCCAGCCTTTTCCATGTCATATTCGAAGGGACTTTAGACGTCCCCCACTCTTCACTGTAGTATACTACTTCCTCGATCATAGCATAATGCTCAATCTCAGAGTCCCCCTGTAACTAGCCCCCTGACCGAATGACACGACAGTGACCAACTTCCTACTCGAGGTAGACTCCATTTCAGAAAGGACTATTAACGCAATAGAAGGGATTTTCTGTGAAAATACCTACGGGAATAACTACGCCAACAGAATGGTGACGAAAAATCAGGGAACAAACAGCTTCAACGCTGGAAAACTTAAGCTTTGGAAGAAAAATCAGATTGCAAAGGTAGAAAATCCAGAAAAATGGGGGTCTCTCGCCTTTTATAAAGGGCCAAGACGAACTCCAACCGTTTGTTCAAAGCCCATCCAATCTAGACCCTTCATTCTAAATCAAATTCGAGGCATAGTATTCAAATGATTTTTCAAACCTATGCCTCAGATTTAAGCGTGTCTCCCACACACCTCCCCCAATGCGTCTGCTTCTAGAAGCTCCAGCTATTCTCATGATTACAACTTTAGTTCGACGACAGCAGGCGCCTTGGAAGTTTAACGGTTCAGCCACCTTTCCTCGAAAATATGCGTAAAACATCAAATCATTGGCACAACTGTCGAGGAACAATTATTGTCAACGTGCCTCAGATTTTAGCCATCAAGCCTCGTAGGTTCGGTTTTCAACCACCTCAACTTCCTCTTCATCATTCAGTCATCAAGCCTCGTAGGTTCAATTTCCACCAACCACCTTGGCTTCCTCTTCATCATTCAGTCATAAAGCCTCGCAGGTTCGGTTTTCCAAACCACCTCAGCTTCTTCTCCATCATTCAGCCATCAAGCCTCGCAGGTTCAGTTCTCAACCACCTTGGCTTCCTCTTTATCATTCAAACATAAAACCCCGTAGGTTCGGTTTCCACCAACCACCTCGACTTCTTCTTCATCATTCAGTTATCAAGCCTCGCAGGTTTGGTTTCCACCAACCACCTCGACTTCCTCTTCATCATTCAACCACAAAGCCTCGCAAGTTCGGTTTCCCAAACTACCTCGACTTCCTCCCATCATTCAGCCATCAAGTCTCGTAGGTTCGGTTCTCAACCACCTCAGCTTCCTCTTCATCATTCAGCCATCAAGCCTCCCATGTTTGATTCTTAACCACATCGACTTCCTCTTCATCATTCAGCCATAAAGCCCCGTTCGGTTTCCACCAACCACCTCAGCTTTCTCTTTATCATTCAGCCATCAAGCCTCGCAGGTTCAGTTCTCAACCACCTCGGCTTCCTCAGCAGAACACCATAGCATATTTCTAACTCCAACCATGATATGAATATCTATACTTGGACTTGGGGGACTATTATTTAGGGTTCAAAAATTTCTTTCGATTTAACTAATTAACTTTACTTCACCGAAGTCCTCGTATTACATAAATGACTATACTTGGATTTGGGGGACTATTGTTACGTGTTTGCACACTTGGGTAACCCATCAGGGCCCACAGCCAACTCATGCCGAACCATGTGGCACTGGAGCCGAGGTGATTTGCATAAACGAGGCCCTCCAACCATGGTCGACAGATGCCTATGCCAATATATGCTGAGGCTCATATATATTAGCCTCTTCTGAAGCTTCCGAGACCCATATACCGAGGCCATGTGAAAGTAGCCAAAGCCCTAAAGCCGAAGCAGAAGCCTCGGAACCATAAAGGAGCATCTTCCATGATCACTTTTCCCAAGAGATCTTCTGCATAAAGATCTTACTTGAATAATTGATAGGACGTTTGTCATAAGTATAAATGTTAAGTCTTATCACTAGTATGGGGGTTCTACATAGGCAATAAATGCGCAGCAAGCTAGCTAGTCAAGGATGATGTCTAGAATTAGACGTTTAAGCTAAAGAGATGAGGCCACGTGCCACCTCGTCCAAGGGCTACCATTTTACATGTACCACTATAAATACTCCCCCATGTATCACATAGAAGGGCTAATGCAAGAATCAATACAAGAAACCACACTTTACTCTCTCTTTCTTATTATCTTGCAACACAATACGAATTTACGCATATTTACATACACATTCACAAACACCGATTGGTAATTATTGTACAATCGATCCACGAACAATCCCGCCGGATTCCAAACGCTCTCGTCCCACGCCGTTGAATTACTCCCACGCACTTGATCTTTCCGTTTTAGACAGTCCACGTGTCTTAATGTGTTGGACTTTCGCTCACGTGTGCGCGAGTGGATCCGACATCTGTTGGCAATATTTTCTGAGGTCAACAGCACGTGTGTGCATGTCTTGTATGTTTTCTCTAAGACCAAATTTTTAATTTCACCAAATTCAATGTTCTTTTTGTTAAATTTTCTACATGTATTAAGGTTAAATATAAATACAAGTTATAAAAATATAAAATACTCTATAAATTAATAAGTACTCATTTATCGATAAATTAGTAAAAAATTTCGGGTCCAACATTGTTGTTTTATAGGGTTTTACTATATATATATATTCACAAACTATTTGAACTCGACTAGATCCGGACTCGACTATTTGGTTGAGTTTGATTTCATTAAAAATTTAACTGGTTGCCTAGTCTAGCTATAAAGCCAAATTTTAATTTGATTTTAGGATTTTAGTTTTATATTCAATCATTTAAATCAATAATTAGAATAATTTATTTGAATTTAAATTTAAATACTTTTGAAACCGGAAAAGAAAGCATGAAAGTGAAGCAAGAAAATTTATACTACAAATACTTTTTCCTGAAGTAGAAAAGGAACAAGATTGGAGCGAGGCACGACCAGTGAGTCAGGTTTGATTTGATTATGTCACTGTAAATGGAATCTTTCGATTCCTTCCGTAGAATTTCCATTGTTACTTGGGTCGGATCTATTTTTATTGGAACGGGATCAAATTGGATATTGCCGAATTGGATTTCCAAGCGGACACCGTTTTAGTTTCAACAAATTGTATCAACAACGATCTTGTGATGGATTTAATCGTCCATCTATTAGCTTAAATTTTGCATAAGGTAGTTAAACATAGAATAAGAGTGTTGCTAGCTATCAAATCTTTGAAAAAATAAAAATGATTTGGCACATGAGGGGCATGCTCAAGACATCATTTAGATAAATAAGTTTGTCTTCACTCTTAGCAGTTTAAGTTTTTCTATGAGGTGGTTCAAAAGCTCGTGAAAATCACACTGAAAATAATTATTGCTTATACTACTTTCATATTTTTCGGAGCTGTAAATCTTTGACAGGAATCACAATGGCAACTAGCCGGTATTTTAACATATGTATCAGACATTTTTATCGATTTTTCCTTTCATTTCAGATGAACATTCAGTTCGTCATTAGGTTGTCTGCGATTTCTCCTTAAAGAGCTCTGAATTCCCATATAATTGACATCAAATCCCGTTCAAGTGCAACGCGCCTGCTATTGTTTTGGGACGATGCATTTCGTTCAGAAATCACAAATCTACAAACAGGGCACTTCCCTTGGCTCCTCACCCATGGCACAATGCATTCCTCATGAAACATATGATTGCACGGAGTGAGCATCACATACTGTTTAGAGTCGAAATCATCCAAGCAAATGGCGCACCTTTTACCATCGTCGTCCTGAAAGTTACCACTTCCGCTGGGTTGGTTTTTGCCATCGGTTTTATACTTCATTTCCATTCTCCTCACTATATTACTCAGATGCGGATTAATCATTACTTTTCTCAGCTTATTCAAGGCCTTTTCTTGTTCTTCTTTTGTAAAGTTCGACTCCAGCTCAGAGGTTGGTGAGTATCGTGGTTCGTAGTAGCTTGGAGGAGAATCAGGTACTGGCTGTCTGTGCGTCGAATAGGTATTTCTTGATGTGCCATTCCCAATTAGAAATAAATCAGGAGAATGCGTAGGCGCTGGTGATGAAGAACTGCAAAAGGAAGTGGACTTTTTGTTAGCATCAATCTATCTTTATTCGATCACCCTCTTATGCTTTTATCCTTCATTCTGGTTGATTTTCTTTTTGTTAAAATCTAGTTTTGAGTACTGATTAATCAGATTCAGATAAACTTATTTGAACAATTTTGAACAGAATTTTTAGTTCATTTATGGTGTAAAACAGTCGTAGTTGTATTGAGGCTATGGGGGAAAAAATGTTGGTGCACGATCTTCCAACCAAAAAAAAAAAAAATTAAAAAAAAATATACTGTTTCTGGTTTTCTGGAAATTTGCAACAAATCAAGATTAATTACGACATTTCCAGGTTGCATCTTTATTATTGATTAACACAAAAAGGACGATTATTCCTATTCTTAAATCCTAAACTTGGTACACAAGGCAGGGGATCATACCTGGCTAAGCCAGAAGGTCGTCCTGTCGGTCTGTCCTCAATCAACCACCATGGATCTGGTGCAGGTGCTTGATGATACTAGATACAGATCAAAACAATGAAGCTTTGCTTTAGAGCAAACACGCTGGAAGAATTTAAATCAATAACAATTGTTTTTTTACTAGCTGCTTCATGGATACAAAGTATTTAAAGATGTAGGATACTAAACAGATTTCTTCTTGCCAGACCAGAGTCTGTATAAAATGACCGTATAAAATGGATACAAGTATTTTTCTATTACTAGTTTCTTTGTATATATTTTGAGAAAATCATCATCACACCATGATAAATGTAGCTAAGAAAATTCTGGAAAGGAAAAAATCCAAATTTGTGGGAGCACTAACCGGAGATCTCCATGCTGGACGAGAGTCACTTAGATATGGTTGCCAAACGTTCCATTCATCCCATCCACGCTGCTGATTTTCTCGTGGCGTAAAATTACCATAGGTGCCACTCATGGTGCTATCAGATGATTAACAAAACAGAATCCTGGAAGGTGAAATGAAGGCCTGAGGATTTTTTATATGGTTTTTTACGTATTTGAGGCTGACATATCTGGGAGGAATTTGTCCATATTCTTTTAATTTTGCGTGCTGATGTGACATTTACAAGCTTTTACATCAAGAAGATGCTTTTTCAAAGATGAAAAGATGTAGATATTAAGCAAAGAATATGATTCTTGAGACGCTGGCTGCTTAGTTCTCTAGGATTTGAATCAATTTTGGAAGAAAGTGCACCCCACTATGAAGTGTTTGTGGGACTAAGAATAAATCCTTCTAATCGGTAATTACGAAATGCTAGTTTAAAGATTCAACAATTGTCGAACCACTTCATGTAAAAGGTCAACTAGAAATCAGAGGAAGTTATTTGTTTGGATTTAATTTTCAACGCCTTCACTTATAGTTCCATTAGCTTTATGCTTAATTTGAAAAATCCACAACATGCATATAATCATTTTAAGGCACAAGGACCAAAGTGATGTTATTTACTAGGGCAGAGTACTCGACTTGCTTCCACTTAGTATCAAGTAAGGCTTCGACGATTGGATTGGGTTCACTTGATTTAAGTGGGGATTTACAATGGCAATGGTGTAGTAGACTTTGGGATTCAAAATCTCAGATTTTGATTTGGTTTCCAGGGTATGAAAATAAGTGGTAGGACGCAAAATGAAACTGGGTATAGGCGAATAATTCAGGGACATGACTGGATAACTGATGAGTGTAATTCTGGTAAAAAGAAATATGCCATATTGTGGGCTTCTTTGTTTCCCTTCCTTTCATGAAATTAGGAAAATAAAATAAAATGAATTTCGTCTTATGTCTTATTTATATAATCAAAAATAGAGAAAAAATAGATATATGTTGTAAAAGAAAAGTTTATTAGGGTTTAGAGGTGGATGACAATTATATTCATGCAGCTTTAGAAATTATTAATGTTGTATCCCTAATTCTGCCCTATAAATACAAGACTTTAATCCTTAATAAAATACACACAAGTCTATTAATTTCTCTCTGTTCTCTTCTCTTTTCTTCAATTTTATAACATGTTATCAACACGATTATCTCAAAATCAAAGTAAATTAGTTAGAAGGTAATAATTTTTATAAACATAATCATGTGTATCAAAATTAATTTAGCAACAAGTGAATTCTATCTATACGTATGCATTAATTCAACTTCGTCCAGTTCACGTCCAATTTTTTTTCATGGTACCAATCAAAATTTGGAGGCTGCTTTGTCCACTACAATTCATCAATTTCTACCTTTTGATTTTACATCTTTAATATGTGGCAATCAATTTCATGAAGTAGCAATCATTATATGCTTATGTCATGGCAATCATTAGATGCTTATGAATTCATCTTTAATACATGGTTTTATGCAGCACTACTGCATATTTTCAATTTTTGAATTTGAATTCGTGTAATTTTAGGTCAATTTGAGGCAAAAAAAAATTGAACACCCTGTTTTAATTCATGTATACGTGTAGCATTAGATGTATTAATTGATGTAATTCATTCTTTAAATTTTTATGGATGTAAAATATATGTTTATGGTGAAGAATAACTATAAAACACATCTTTTTAAGATTTTTTTTAATACATGTTTGGTAATTAATTTAAAAATATAAATTCATATCCAATCTATTTGGTAATTATTCTTTATTTGCATGGTAATTAATATTCTTTAACTTGATTATATATTTGTGTTGTTCTATCATAAATTTTAAATTAATATTCTATCATATTATTGCTCTTGAAGTAGCACAACATTATAATTAATATTCTAGAAGAATATTAATCAAAGATCTATTTATTAGAAATAGTTTGTTGATACTCCTTAAGTAGCACAATATTATAATTAATATTCGTGAAGAATATTATTTGCTCCCGAAAAGTATAAATTATATTTTTCAATATTTCAAAAGAATATTGACGTATTAATCTTGAAGAAATAATAATAAAATACGTGCTCTTGAAGTAGCATATGTTTCAAAGAACATATAATTTTAATGTTTATCCTTGAAGAAAAACACGTAACTTATGTTATATTGATATTTACTATTTGATTAATTATTATATGATGTTTAATCATATTCTTTGAAACTAATTATATTTTCTTTTATTTTATTGTGTAGTTAATCAAATGGCAAACATCACGAAACTCGAGTTTGCTGCACTTGATATATCTGACAAAAATTATCTATCATGGGTATTCGATACTGATATTCATCTTGTCTCAAAAGGTTTGGAAGAGACAGTAAAAGAAGGAAACAAATAATCCCTGCAAGATTGTGCAAAAGAACTCATCTTCTTTCGTCATCATCTTCATGATGGGTTGAAAATTGAATATCTCACTGAAAATGATCCACAAGTTCTTTGGAAGAAATTAATTGAGAGATTTGATCATCGGAAGACTACAGTCCTCCCCAAAGCCCATTATGAATGGATGTACATTCGTTTGCAAGACTTCAAAACTGTTAGTAAGTACAATTCTGAATTGTTCAGAATATGTTCAAAATTAACATTGTGTGGAGAAAAAATCACTGATGAAGACATGCTGGAGAAAACTTTTTCCACATTTTACACCTCGAATGTGCTCCTGCAGCAGCAATATAGCGAGCGTGGTTTTAAAAAATACTCAGAACTTATATCTTGTCTGCTTGTTACTAAACAAAATAATGAACTGCTGATGAAAAATTATGGATTACGTTCAACTGGTTCTGTACCATTGCCTGAAGCAAATGATACTGCATTGCCTAAAGCAAATGCAATATCAAGACATAGACGTAGACATGGACGTGGACACGAACGTACATGCGGAGTAAACCATGGATGAAATAATCAACAAAATCATCAACAACAGGCAACAATTTCAAAAGGTACAAAGTAAACAAAAGTAGCACACTTATAAGGGTACACGAAGAAATTTGCTTTAGATGTGGAATGAAAGGGCATTGGACGAGTACTTATCGTACGGCAAAACATCTTGTGGATCTCTATCAAAAATCAATTAAGGAAAAAGAAAAGGTGGAGATAAATTTTTCTGACTATGGTGGTCTAATTGATGTAACTCATTTGAATGTCTTCAATTTCTTTGCTGATCCAAATGGAAATATTGACCATTTGATTGGGGTGGTGTGATGGAAAATATAGATTAGTTTATTTTTTTATATTTCTAGTAATTCTCTTTATTTTAGAAATTTAGTTTCAAACATGTTTTTACTTTTCGCAAAAATTTTGAATTTTATTATGTATCGTTAATTTCATAGTATTAATTATGCTTATCATTTTAAATTTGAATTCAAGTTTTTTTTTTAAATATATCTATTTTGTTATATTGATAGATTCATGATGGATTGTCAAGACACCTGCTTGATTAATAGTACAACTACACATACTATTCTTCAAAACAAAAAAATAATTTTTGGACTTAACATTGAAAGAAAATAATGTCAATACAATATTAGGTGCATCGAATTTAATTGAAGGCTCCGAAAGAGCTTGTATTATTTTATCAAATAATACAAAATTATATAGTGATGATGCACTTTATTCTAGCAAATTCAGAAGAAATTTGCGTAGTTTTAAAGATATTCGTTGCAATGGATATCATATTGAGACAATGCAAGAAAATAGTACTAAATATGTTTACATAACCTCTTTTGTATCTGATCAGAAGCAGATAAAAGAACAATTTTATACACTCCCATCTGGCATGTATTATATATTTATAAAAATGGTTGAATCAAATAATGTCGCGAACCTGAAGTTCGTTGACCCAAAAAGCTTTGTTCTTTGGCATTATCGACTTGGACATCCAGGAGTTATAATGATGCATCAAATAATAAACAATTCACATGGACATCCTTTAAAGAACCAGAAAATTCTTTTACCTAATGATTATCCATGTGTAGCTTGTTCGCAAAGCAAGTTAGTCATTAGACCTTCAACTACAAAGGTCAACATTGAACCTTCAACTTTTTTGGAAAGAATTTATGGAGATATATGTGGGCCAATACACCCACCATGTGGACCATTTCGTTATTTATGGTATTAATTGATTTTTCTACTAGATGGTCACACGTTTGCCTACTTTCCACTAGGAATGTAGGCTAGACTACTTGCTCAAATTATAAAATTACGAGTGCAATTTTTCGATTACTCAATTAAAACTATTCGCCTTGACAATGTTGGAGAATTTAGATCACAAGCTTTCAATAATTATTGTATGTCAATCGGGATTATAATTGACCATTTAGTTCCGTTGCTAGACCGTTACTTATGAGAACAAAACTCCCAACTTCTGTTTGGGGTTATGTCATATTACATGCTGCATCATTGGTTCGTATTAGATCAATTGCCTATTATCAATATTCAGCTTTGCAACTAGCATTTGATTATGAGCCTGATATTTCTCACCTACGGGTCTTTGGTTGTGCTGTCCAAATCCCTATCTTACCCCCCATACTGTCATAAAATGGGTCCCCAACGAAGACTTGAGATTTATGTGAATTTTGATTCACCATCAATTATTAGGTATCTTGAGCCTTTAACGGATGACTTATTTACTGCACGTTTTGCAGATTGTCATTTTGATGAATTGACTTTCCCAATTTTGGGAGGAAAAAAATTACATCTTGAAAAATAAGGTAAAATTACTTGGAATGAAATAACTCTATCTCCTTTTGATCCTCGCAGTAATCAATGTGAGCAAGAGGTTGAAAAAATCATTCATTTGCAAAGAGTTACAAATCAATTACCTGATGTATTTGTTGACACAAGAAAAGTGACAAAGTCATATATTCTAGCAGAAAATATTTCAGCAAAAATTGATGTCCCTGTAGGACAATCTGCTGTAATAAATGAATCTCAATACTCCAGAAGCATGGTCGACCAGTTGGTTCAAAAGACTTTGTATCTCGAAAAATAAAAGTACATGAGAAAAATCAATCAAAAACTTCAAAAGAAGTCATATTAGAAAGTATTGATCAATTAGATATTGAAAATACGGTTCCGAAGAACCACAAATATCCGAAAATAATGAGATTTCAATAAATTA